AGGCATTCATTTTAAAGATCTATTAAGACAAATATATATTTTTTAAACTATCGTGATAGAAAAGGAAAATTTAGCTTTATAATGGTATTATAAGTAACAGCTTTAAAAGAAAAGCTTCTGATGCACGTTTGAAAAATAAGTCCATTAAAGGCCTATAATGCTTCAGAAATGCTTCTATTTCTCAAAAGCATTTCATATTTTGGATACACTTTTATTGTTTCCAAAAAGCTATTCGTTGGTCAATTACCTGAACCATCATTTTCTTCTGTTTCTTTTTGACAATAAGTACAGTTATAGTGATTTAGCTTTTTTGTATGAGAGTCAAAATATTACTTTACGTTTTGCTACTTTTATGACAAATTATTTCATATTTAGCGGGTCTTCCTTCGCTTACATGCTTTAAAACAATTACATAAACATTATAAAGTTATTATAATGTTTTCCCTTTTTATAGAAGTAAAAATAAATTCGTTTCTGAGGCATAACGTGCCTTTAACTATTTTTATTTTCACTTCAGACAGTGCAAAATCAAAACAACAAGCCTACAAATAAAATTTTATGAACATTACAAATTTCACTGGGTAACCAATCCGTCGCAGGCAATCGCAACCTTTCGGCCCTTTCCGTCGATGAATAATAGTCAAGGAAGTTCCGATTGCCGTCGCACGCAAAAAAAATCAAATGAATGTGTCTGTAAAACAAACAAACGATTATATACTAGTAAGTAAACATACGATAGGTATTTTTTGGTATTTTAATTTAGTTAATTGTGTTTAATATTGTTATAAAGATGGAAAAGTGACCTGTTGTCATGCCGAATTAATTAGTCTATCGACTTTAGTGAGTCAGTTGAATGACGTAAATATGTAAGACAACAACCTCGTGTCCGGCAAGGAAACTTCACCAATTGGAAACTCCAATATATACGTGCATTATCAAATGTTTGTTTATTATACATTGATATACGTACCTTTCATGATATCTGCTTGCTCAAAATATTTCGTTGAATTTACTGAAGCTTATTTCGTATAATTCATTTCTTATTACATATTATCCACATTGTATCGCATTACCACATTGTATCGCATTACCGCATTGCATCGTGAAAAAAAATGTTGACTCTGCATGGCTTTGAACCCATGCCCCTCAATTTCAATGAAGTTGACGGTTATTTTGGCCTATCAAAGTGGAGGTAATGCATAAATGGGCCATACCTTAAAAGCGCGCGCAGTTAACGAGACGTTTGTCCTCGAGCGGTTGAAGAGATCGGTAAAAGCAAAGTGGAAATGAATACATGGCACAACTTAATTAAACATGTAATTTTACAAATATGAACTGTGTTCTACAACGTATTACACTTATAAATAAAAAATTATAATCAAGCACCCTCATACCGATCGGAATGATCGGCTTTTATTATGACCGACTAAAAAGCTCGAGAAGTTGCTGTCGCCCTTTCGCGGACGCCAATAAAGAGGGCTGTTATGGCCCTGGGTCGCTCACATGGAAACATTGCTTTAAAATGGTGACGATTTTAATTTTTAGTTTTAAAGTCAGTTATGTGATCACTGTTAGTTTGTAATTCTTATATAAAAGCTACATTATTCTTGAAATATTTGTAGATTTTAGCTTCGAAATGCTTCATGGTCAATATCTAAACATTGTAATATCTCGCAAGAAGACTTAATTGTGTTTTACTATGTAAGTGTATATAAGCCAAGGGACATACATTATTTATATAACTTTTGAAGAAAACCACACGGTTAGGCTATATGCACAATATCTATACTCTTCCAAGGACATTGTACTTTCAGAGAGGAAGATTTTTAAGATATTTTTTCTTAAAAGTCTAAGTAAACCAAGTGAACCCAAGGGTGGTGTCACTTTTGTCCTCAGGGGCATGATTTATATCACTTTTGTAGAGCTCATAGCTCTAGGTAATGCTACATGATAAATATCTAAGCACTTTTCATTGAAGTTTCTAAACAGAAGACTTAAATGTAATTGTCCTATACAAGTCTATAAGATGTAAGTGACCCCCGTGGTGGGACTAATTTTGACCCCAGGGGCATGATTTCTATTTCTATAAATTTCATTGAGGACTACATGCAAATAGCTAAGCTCTGGACAATGAACAATGTTCGTTCACTGAAAAAGTTTAAATTGCATGTACAATATTTATCATAAATTAACGCAATGAGAATTGTTAAAGAATAATTACAATATGGAGATTGTGATGTTATCTGATGCATTGTTGTAGTTTCCAAAAATGAAAATTTGTAAAGGATATCTTTAGTTCCTTTTGTGAATTTTGGTAAAACTCATCATGTGCTTAAGGACGAGATGTTAATTAAATTTGAGCCGTGTCATGACAAAACCAACATAGTGCGTTTGCGACCAGCATGGATCCAGACAAGCCTGCGCATCCGCGCAGTCTGATCAGGATCCATGCTGTTCTCTTACAAACCCTATAGCAAGTAGAGAAACTGATAGCGAACAGCATGGATCCTGATATGACTGCGCGCGGATGCGCAGGCTGGTCTGGATCCATGCTGGTCGCAAACCCATTATGTTGGTTTTGTCGTGACACGGCTCATTTGTTTTGTTTAAAGAAATTGTGATAATGACGGACGACATACACACTGCTATCACAAAATCTCACCTTTGTGCACAGTTAAAATTGCATATTAGTACGTGTTGAGATAATCGACATTAGCAACTTTCTTGAAAAAAAAACATATACGAGAAGTTTATACAAGTTAAAACACTCTACCAATGTGCTCTTAAGTCATCTAGAGATGCCACAGGGGTTACAATCATTTTCACAAGCACGACTGTAATCACGTGATTCTATGTGGGCCCACTTATCATTATTTTTGGGGCACCATTTCATAATTTATTATAAATTTTTAAGCTTAGTTTAAAGGCGAACTTTGCCCTTGAGCCAGGACAGCGGCAGCATGATGTGCAACTTACCTTGTTGAGGTTTGGGCCAAGATTGAAGAAAGAATTTCATAGTCCAGTAAAGATTCATAGAACTTGGTGCATAATTTGACTTAGGCATTATTATTTTGAAATACAACTGAGTAATTTAGGTAATTGATAGGGAATTAAGGCATGTATTGCTTAAGAACATTATATCGCATAACTTTTTGACAAATGAATTCATGAGAGGTCACTTTAAGCTTATTTCCATTATAAGATCAAACTAGAACCATTTAAGCAATTTGACAGACCGCCAAATAATAGTTTCCGTAGAGCGTCAACAAAATCTATCAAGTTTCAGAGAAGAAGATGTCATTTAAAAGTTATTTTAATTTTCTACTTAGGCGGTAAAGATTTTACTATATATACAAATGAGCAAAACCTATGACCCCCAGAGCGGGACCAACTTTGACTCCATATGGGGTTTAATATGAACAAACTAGATAGATGCCTTATGGTTGGTGTTTTACATTAACTTTCTCAACTCTAGCCTTAGCCTGGGTTCCAGTCTGTCGATTTTTTATGTGCTTCTGTTTGGCAAATTGATACTATCAAAACCAGAGATGTTGTGTTATCTATGACGATCGAGTATGAAATAGCGCGTATGTAATGAATAAGCAAAAAATATCAACGCCTGAATCCCAGGCTACTCTAGCCTTTATTGTTTCAGAGAAGATGATTTTTTAAAGATTTTGGTATATACATGCAAGGAAAATCCATAACCCCCTTTGGTAGGGGTAAATTTTTATCAAGAGTTAAAATTTTAACAGATCTTGTAGAGGTTGACTAGACGATGTTTGATGCAAAATATTAGAACTAAAGCCTTTATGGTTAACATGTAGATGATATTTGAAGATTTAACTACCTACAGAAAACTCTTTATCCCCAGAGAAAGACACAATTTCGATCATAGGGCTGTTGTTTTTCCTAAAAACTTGGAAGTGGTCCACTAGACAATGCTTCATGTTCAATATCTTAGCACTAGCTATTATTGTTTCAAAGGAGATGACTTTAAAGCTTTAACTTTATACATTTATAAAATACCCATGACCCCTGGGGCGGGGCCAATTTTGACCCAAGCGCTGTAATTAAAACAAACTTGGTAGTGGTCTTACAAAATGTTTCATGCCAAATATCTAAGCTCTAGGCCTTTATTGTTTCAAAGGAGATTGGCATTTAAAACCCACGACATCCAAAGCAGGGCCATTTTGACCTAATGACATCATTTAAATAAGCTTGGTAGAGACTAACTAGATGATGTTTCATGCCAAATATCTAAGCTCTAACCTTTATCATTTCGAGCTGATTTTTAAAGATTTTAAGATGTAAGCAAAACTCATGACCCCCTAGGCAGGGCCAATTTTGACTATTATTTGAGCAAACTTGATAGAGGCCCACTAGATGATGTTTCATGCCAAATATCTTAGCTCTGACCTAAATGGCTTTCTTAAGAGATTCTGTTTATCACTATTTCAGTGAAGATGAGTATTAAAGAATTGTCATGCCAAATATCTTAGATTCTGGGATGAGTTTTAAAGATTTTTCATTGGTTGCCTTGGCAACAAAGAGTTCTGCATGGAATAATTTTTTAACAACTTGAAAATAAGATCACCCAAGGATTATTCTTTTGATATTATTGGCTACTCCATTGTTCTCTAGTGAATAGTTTTTTTAATTTCTGAGAAAATGGGCACCAAAGTTGATGCCAACGAGAAGGTCATTACAATAGCTTTTCATTTTTTTCTTTCAAAGTGGAGCTTATAATTATCGAGGTTTCATTCTTCAAAACTATGAAAGTGTAAATATGCTGAAAGTTCTTGATGATCTTTTCTCAGTTTTCACGGACCTTTTCTCAGTTTTCATGGACCTTTTCTTAGTTTTCATGGACCTTTTCTCAGTTTCATGGACATTTTCTTAGTTTTCATGGACATTTTCTTAGTTTTCGTACAGACACATTGACTCTATCAGCTATATGGAATTAATCGAGGAAAATGAAATAAATGATAAGACATGGCTAACAACATATTATATTTATTCCCCTATATACTTGGTTTATATTATAACATTTCATCTAAAGTAATACCTTCTTATCCATGTAATTCATTGAACATTTTGCAAAAAGACAAACAAATCATGAATAAACAGTATAGGTAGATAAATATGTTAGAAAATTCCATACATAGTTGCTAAGACAACTAAAAGCTCAAAATAAAACAAATACATGTATACCAAAATAAGAGTCAATCTTACGACAAAAAAACAACTTTTTATAAACTAAACCACTGCTTAACCAAAAGCGTTAACCAATGCTGACATCAATGAGTGTGTCATGACAATAGCTCCACTTTTTCTTTGAGAAATGAAGCTAAATATTGAATGTAAATTAACATTATACTGTAAAATATATTTCACAGAAATGTAAAAATAATTATCCAATGTTACTATTAACTACTAGTATCTAATGAGCACATGTACAAAGAAGAACCTTGTAACGTTTCATAAAGAACTAAAAAAAAACTAACCATGGTCCATTATTTTGATTGGACATAGATGCTATGGTCCACAAAACCTTTCTCAACCCTTTGCCTGCAGGTGCCTGCAGAAATGTGTCGTCACGCCACAGATGCCCCCGCATACAGCCAAAATTTCAAATGTTATAATAATATTTAGTTCCAAATTTGTTTGCACAAACTATTTTTTTTTTCATTTTAAGTTCAAAACCCTTAAACTATTCAATGTTAACACAAATCATTTTAATTCAAAGTTCAAGGCCATGAAACTAATCTGTGTTTTCTATTTCCATGTATATATGCTTCATAATGTACAGAAGATTTATATTTATGACTGTATATAAACTGCAGCACCACTGCCTGGCTGTGTTGCAAACAGAGCTTCATCAACCCTTGACTCAAGTCCCCTCACAACATAGTAACCATCTTTTACTTTTCTTAGAAACTCTGAAAGTTCTGAGCTGGGAACCATAGATACAGCACAACCTCCCCATCCTGCACCAGTCAGCCGGGAACCAATAGCACCAGACTTTCTAAAAAAAAAGAAGAAAGCATCAGGAATTTTATATCATATTGCATAGTGGAAAACAGTTATATTTCAGGTCTTTTTTTGAAATTGTTATTTTTTTTTGTTATATTTTATATCATATTAAAGCTGCATGCCTCCAGATGAATCAAAATATTTTGAGAAAATCAACATTATAAAAAATGCAATAATGTTTTAAGAAAAGTACAAATATGCGCCATTCAAGAAATAATTTACATGTTATATGCAATTAAGGATTATGCAGAATTAATCACTATATCTTAATTGCATGACTTAACCCAATAAGGGTTATTTTTTGCATATTCTGACCCATTTTTGGTAATTTTGAAATTGCGTTTTTCAACAAATTTCATAATTCAGATACCCCTGTAACAGGGCTTTAGGTGTGGAATTTATACAGTATTTCAGCAATCAGTGTCACTATTTTTAGTACCTAGTAATAAAGAAAACTTTCAGCAGTTTTGGAGATGAAACATTTGAGCCAAACCTTGATAAAATGAACAAAAGAATAGGTGCTTAAGCAGTTTTAAGAGATACTGCAAAATGATTATTATTCACGGAGCACTAATTTTTCATGGTTTTTGTGGATAGGTCAATCATACAACTGAATTTCATTTTGTCTGCTTTAAGATTATTTTGCATCTCATTATTTACATTTTACCTTTTGGAAAAATAAACAGTCCATGAATTTAAGTACCCGTGAAAATGTTCATTGTGACAAAACCACGAAATTTCATGTTCACGAAATTAAATAAATTCGCAGGAAGAAATGCTTCATATTTTTCTAATAATAGATGAAGAAGATATATAATATGATATCATACATGCATAGATTGACTAGATCATCTAACTCGGTACAACTGCACTCATACTGTTGACTACAACTCTCGTGGCTTTGGTTCATCAATGTACCAAGTCTCTGTGCAGCATCTGAGGGTACTTCCTTACATATCCGCTGGAACTCCTCAACTCTACGTGCCTCACTGTACACGTGTCCAGCACGCTGATACAAGCGAAATTTTTCAACTGTAGAAAGAAACAACAACGATAATTAACAAGAACTGTCGGAGGACAGTATTTGCTTGACTATTCGAAAAGTTGTCACAAGGGTGTTTTATTGAGTATAATAATGCTAATTACCTATGAATACATAAAATTGACCGAAAACGTACAAAGGCTTGTTATTAAGATGTTTTATTAAGTAAATCACTGCTTTATTATTATGAATGCATAAAATTGTCCCAAAAAAGGCACAAACCCTTCAGTAGTTACGGAGATAACAGCTTACAAGCAAAACTTTACCATGAATTTCTAAGTTGAAAAAGGGGAGAAAAATCAGCCTAAATGCAAGATAGAATTATGGATCTTGGTCAGTGACCTACAATTATGATTCTTAATGCATATGTGAAGTTTTAAATAAATATCTTTCATAGTTATTGAGATATGTAAAACTTGCATGTAAACATTAACCAAGAGACTAAGTAGAAAAGGGGAGATGAATCAGCCTAAATGCAAGATAGAGTTATGGAACTTGGTCAGTGACATACAATAATGACCCTCCAATTATGACCCTAAGTAGATGTGTAAAGTTTCAAATAAATATCTTTGAAGACCTTTAACTAAAATTTCGAAGTTTCAAAGGGGCAAATAATTCTGCAAATATTGCAGGCAGAGTTATGCAATTTTGCAAACTGATGTACATTGTTACTATAAAAAAGTATTGCAAATTTCAATTGAATATCTCAAGCAATAATTGAGATATTTGACTTTACAAAAAACTTTAACCAATGCAGACGCCGACACGGACGCCGACGCCGGGGCGACTACAATAGCTCTCATATTCTTCGAATAGTCGAGCTAAAAATAATAAATTAAAATAACATACACTGTACATTGACCATTAAAAAATGCATTAAGTATGTATGAAGACTTTTCTGCAAAAACACAATATTTCTGTGATGTCTTGTAAACCTTTGCAAAGCAAGTGTGACTTTCATCTTAAAAATTGAATATTTATTTTATAATTCCATGTTTCCATTGCAGAGAGTGAAAAAATTGTGTTTTATTGCAGCTTTTTTTTTTCTTCTGTTTTTGTTTTCTTTTTATTTTTTGAAATATTCTGGTTTCAATGAGTTTGCCTTGGCTATTTCATGGCTTTACTTCAAGCCTTGGTAATTTTGAAGAAATTTTATAATTTGTACCATGTAAAGTATTGGCACTAAGACTAGTTTCTGCAAGTTTTTCAGCTGTCACACCAAGTATTTCACACACTTCCTGTTTTGAGTACTCTTCTTTATGGAGACATGCTTCTACAATTCCAGCCATATCCTGTAAGCTAAGTTTCAGTTTATTTTGTAAATCTGCCAAATTCTTGCACTCCTGCCATTGTAATTCTTTACTTTTTGCCATAACCTGTAAATAAATCAAAAAACATAATTCAAAAAAATTTGAAATCTTGAAAATGGAAAAAGATGTGGCTAGTGTTATACATGTAATATAGTAGCCACATGGTAATAACCAGTTCAAGTGATGGCAGATTGCTGCAGTAATGGCAGAGATCCAAAGATTCCAAAGACATGTTTAAAATTTAATAAGAATAACTGAAAATTAATGATGCATGCAAGATTTTGATCAAGTATGACCTAAATTCATAAAGGACTATTTATCATTCAAAATCCATGTCCTAGTTATGGGCCTTGGACAGAGCCCTCCTTTTATAATCTCAAAGAGTTACAAGCAAATATCTTTGCACAGTGGTTTAATGCGATATGATGTTGTACAAGAATTTGCATGCAAAGAAAAACTATGATATAGGCTACTATGCTCAAATTTCATATTTTTAAATATTGCTAATTGCTACACAATCTCTTTGTAAATATAGAATAAACATGTTTTGACTACACACAAAGTAGATATCTTATGTTTTAAACTCTACACACTATAGGTAGACACAATGAGAAAATATTGTGTTGTTAAAATAACTAGCAACTTTACTTGACCTGTAATAGGATGTGTGGCTTCCCAGACACAGTTTGTACATTCTTTGTTTAAAATTAGACATATTTAGAAAGAATAACATGGATTTCAATTAATTTCTGGAATAAAAATTTTTACTCTAAGATGAGCATAGTATATCTTTAATCAATTGTGATACCAGTCCTCAGGTCGGAGTAGGATCCATGCTGTTCGCTATCTGTATCAGATTCTCTACTTGTAAAAGGGTTTTGTAAGCGAACAGCATGGATCCTGATCAGACTGCGCGGATGCGCAGGCTGTTCTGGATCCATGCTGGTCGCAAACGCACTATGTTGGTTTTGTCATGGCACGGCTGATATAGAGAAATTTGTACCTGCATAGCTAGGCGGCACTCAACTACCCTTGTATTAAAATCTGATGTAGCTGCTTTATTCTTCTCTACACAACAATTAGATATAACAAACGCTACACCTTCTGGGAGAATTACATCTTCTTCCGACAGTGGATTAAAGTCAATCTTTTTGGCCTGTAAGATGTTAAGTGAACACAGTTTATTACATGGAAAACATTTATACAAGTTATAGACATTTCAAATTTTATTTTGTTTTCTTGTACATTATTTCTTCTCTGTAAAAAAGTATTTCTTTGTTCTATTTATACAGGCAAAAAACAAACAAACTAGAAATGTGACCATAGGACACGGATGCCCCCACATGCCACTGTTCTGTCAATCTTATGACTCTAGGTCAAATATTTTTTGGACTACATGTGCTACAAGTTGAAAACTAAAAATCAACAAAGGGCCATAATTCTGTTAAATTTGGTCGCAGCAAAAATTCCTTCCTTTACTACCATCTACACATTAAGGTTGTTAATCCCTGGAAGTTTAAGCCAAATCTGCCATCGGGTTTAAGAGGAGTTGCGTTCACAAAATTTCTATATAGTATATAATGAAAAAATCAACAAAGGGCCATAATTCTGTTAAATTTGGTTGCAGCAAAAATTCCTTCATTTACTGCCATCTACACATTAAGGTTGTTCATCCCTGGAAGTTTAAGCAAAATCTGCCATCCGGTTTAAGAGGAGTTGCGTTCACAAAATTTCTACATAGTATATAGTGAAAAAATCAACAAAGGGCCATAATTCTGTTAAATTTGGTCGCAGCAAAAATTCCTTCCTTTACTACCATCTACACATTAAGGTTGTTCATCCCTGTAAGTTTAAGCAAAATCTGCCATCCGGTTTAAGAGGAGTTGCGTTCACAAAATTTCTACATAGTATCTAGTGAAAAAATCAACAAAGGGCCATTATTCTGTTAAATTTGATCGCAGCAAAAATTCCTTCCTTTACTACCATCTACACATTAAGGTTGTTCATCCCTGTAAGTTTAAGCAAAATCTGACATCCGGTTTAAGAGGAGTTGCGTTCACAAGATTTCGGGACGGACGGACGGACAAGTGCAACGCTATATGCTCCCACATTGTGGGGGCATAAAAAAACATTCATGATAGTAAAGGTACTATAACTTTTTTTAAAATGACCAATTACACTTAAATATCTGAAAAACTCCAGAATCTCGAAAAAAAAAGGACATTTTATTGAAAATAAGCATCCATAAATATTCAGATCATTTTCAAGCATATATATTCTTTAAAGTTTTTCCCCCAAGTTTTTAAATGATGTATGATTATCAAGTATGTGACAACTGTTGAGATATGTTTGTTCTGTGTTTGAAAACTTATGGTAACTTATCCTTGTTCATGTTGCCTATGTTATCGACTCAATGCAAATATGTGTTCATTTATTCTTCAAATAACTACCCACTAATTTATGCAAATGAAAACTATTCACTCAGGGAAATAATTTTGCATCACAATTCATCATCTTTTAGCTAGTTTATACAAATTTCTTTTACTTTAATTGTGTTGGAAGCCACAAGCTTATTGAAATACTAATAAATCTGTTGCTGGAACCAACCAGTACTGCTCACAGAAACTGTGAACAGCTTGCCCCTAGTGGGGTATGAACCCAGGTGGTCAGCAATCCTTCGAATACTAGTCTGATGCATTGACCAGGGCCGGTGCCACCACTCTTGGCATAATTTCTAAAAACAATCCACAAAAGCACCTGCCAGCGTTATTCAGGTAAACACTGGAACAAAGGTAGAACCACAGACCTACAGTTAGCTTGCTGAAAAGCTTTATCTAACCAAAGAATACAATGGGTTTTTTTTATAAAAATTTAAACTGATAAGGGAAAAGAGTTCTGAATTGGACAAGTTTAGTACCTATTTAGATAAACAAGACTAGTACATTGTTAAAAAAAAAAAAATTAATGACACTTACAGTTCCCGGCCTGGCCATGAATGATATAGCTTGATCCATACCACCACCCTGAGTTCCTATATACCTCTCACAACTTGCGCACATATCTGCTATCTCTTTCTTCTGTAAATTGAGAAAATAAACTTGTAACTCATCTTAACATTTTCATTATCAATACTTAAGCATGCTTTAAAAGAAATTTGAAAGAAGTCTGAAATTTTTCTAAATATTTTCCAGTCCTTTATTTACTATGTGCTAGATAATTTATAATTCAAATATGTAGATAAAATTTAGTTCCAAGTAAAATGCTTCAAAAAACATATTTTCTTAAAGTGACATTATGTCCATCCAAGCATAAATAATGAGTGTACATGTAAAAATGAACATGACTTTTCTTTTTTGACATGAATAGTTTCATTTTGATATAAAAACAATCAATACCCAACATGACCTATGGACATTTCTATAATTTGAAACTTATTAGTAAAATTTCACTGATAAAAATTGTGTGGCAGTCCTTTTACATTTAAGGCAGTGTTTATAGATACTAAATAATTGTCGTCTAAAGTCAGTCTTTTGGAATATATACCCGGCCAGTAGTCTATTCAGATCAAAAATCATAGATTGCTCAATCCCCTGTTAAACAACGGTGCTAGTCACATTGATTTGACCGAAAATATGTTTAATTAATCTTATTTATGCAATATAATATCCTGATTAAAAAAAAATAATAATAAAGAAAGAAAAAAAAATCTAATTTTTAGCTTGACTATTCGATAAGAATATGTAGAGCTATTGTAGTCACCCGAGTGTCGGCATCCGCGTCGGCGTAACCACTTATGTTAAAGTTTTTGTAATACCTCAAATATTTTCAAAGTCCATTGACATATGGCTTTGAAACTTTGCACACTTATAACCCCAACCTGTTGACAGGAGGAGGTAACTGTATCAAACATTTTGACAGAATTATGCCCCTTTTTCGACTTAGAATTTACGCTAAAGTTTTGTAATACCTCAAATATTTTCACAGTCCATTGACATATGGCTTTGAAACAAGTTGAAATTTTATACACTTCTTTGAGAGCATAATAGGACTTTCTTCAAGGCCTATATCTGTAATATGGATTTAAAGAAAAAAAATTTCCCTTTTTTTTACTTAGAAAATTTTTACATTATCAAGGCTTTTTTTACTATCAAGCACTAAGAATTGTCGAGCGTTGCTGTCCTACCGACAGCTCTTGTCTGTTATATTGTTATAAACTATAACTATAAATCAGAAAATTATATATATTTTTTAATATATGTATATTATATTGCATAAATAACAAGATTACACACATTTTAGATCAAATCAATGCAACTAGCACCCTTGTGTTGAACAGGAAAAATGTTATGAAAAGAGATAGTCAATTTGCACACACTGCCATTTAAATTCACATCAAAGGGCAATAACCCAAAAAATAAATACAAAGCTGGTATACAAGAGTTATTCACTCTGATATCATTCTGATATCTTTAAAACCTTTTGAGTTTTTTTAGCCTGGCTAAAAAACTAAAATATGCAAATTAAGCATGAAAAAATAACAAAGGGCAATAATTCAAAAATATGATGAGGAGAGTTGTCATTCTTGACTTCAGGAATGGGCCATTTTTTGCGCAAAGAATGACTTACATAGCTTTTGTAGAGGTCAACTAGGTAATGCTACATGTTTGTTTATTTTTGATACATGTGATGTCATACATGTGTCTAAGCTCTAGAACAAAAATCAATAAACATTTGTAATTCATTTTGAGTTGGGTTTTTTTGTGTATGAAAAAAATTAAGACATAAAGCCACACCCTACATTTGATATCCAGCTTACCTTTGACCTTGATTGGTTATTGGCTTGCATAGTAGCTAGGGCAGCACAGCAGACAAGGGCACTGGAACTAGACAAACCAGCACTGTTGGGCACACAACCATCTACCATACACTGCATACCAACTGGGTTAGTTAGACTTATAAACTCCGTCATACCTTTCACCCCACATAACACATAATTGTGCCAGTCTGGTTTAGCCTTGTTTATCTCAAAGTTTGTCATACTGCACTGAAAATCTCTATAAATACAAAAAAGGAATTATTGACAGTTTCTACTCCATTCAAGAATGTTTGGTACATTGTTTGGTGAAATGACCGGGACAAAAAAAAAGAATTATAATTAACAAAGGGCAATAACTCTAAAATCATGAAGTACAGAGTACCAGTTTTTGAACACTGCACTTTATCTCAATAAGATCTATTATCCTATGAAGTTTCAATTCCATAACTTTTATAATTTAGGAGAAATTGCCCAGACAAAAATAAAGTATGAAAATTAACAAAGGGCAATAACTCAAAAAAATAGAAGTGCAGAGTGACACTTAACCTTTCATCTTAGTATAAATGCAGTTTTAAAAACAACAGAAATGTTAATAACTTAGTAGCCTACCTGAACTTATCATCTGTATTTGAAAGGTAGAGTTGATTGTCACTTGTTGGGCAGACAGCAATAACAATGTCTTGCTCAATTGCCATTGGTAACACCCCATATCCACAATAATCTATATGTTCTCCTTGAAAAAATAACAATATTTTTTTTACCCTTAAGCAAAATTCCCTCTCAGTATTGTTCTTTTTTAGTTCTTTGACTTAATAATTTGGAAGCAATAACAACTTAAAGTATGTCACTACAACAGAACCATGCCTGTCAGCAAGAACTTTATAATTTTTACACAGATATGTGCCACTCACTGTACAAATTACAAGATATATAACATTAATAATCCAACTGAAATGCGTGCACTCTTTGAAAATATAGCACTCCTCTCAACAGAAAATAGTTTATTTTCAACTTAGTTTATCCTCTAAGACTACATGCAATAAAAGTGCATTACTAGATGCAGTTTTTTTTTTCTCAAATAGGAATACAGTATTTCAAAGTAATTGTAACACATTTACTTTCAAAAAAGTTAAAAGGGCTAAGAATTAAATTATCAGTCTAGTAAATCCGCTGCTAATGAAAATTATTTCAAACACTAAATTGGTGTTCATTAGATCAGATTGGTCTAACAGCTGTTCCATTCCAACCCAATATAATTTTGTAAAGACTAAATTTTTGTAAACACTAACCTTTTTTTTACTATAACAGTATTTTTACCACTACCCTTTGGAGCGTAACATTTTTAACAGTTTCACAGAAATCCACTCAAGACCACAGTGCTTTACCTTTCTGAATATGTATTATTACAAAATAAAAAGTTAATTACCTATCAAATTAACACGCCCAGGTGCCCTTGCATAAAATTTTGGTTCACAGTTGTACTTTTTAACAAACTTCTCCTTTATATTTGCATACCTGGAATACAAATTATATTTTACAAATGTACTTGCATTTTGAAAAAAATTATACATGCATGTGTATTTACATAACTTAAACAAAAACATGATTTTATTTTAGTCAAAATATATTGACGTGCAAAAGCTAGATTCTGAGATATTTTCATTCTGGGGCAGAATCTCCCTTTAAGAGGCGAGATATTGCCCAGACATGAAAATAACATATTAACATGCAGTAGAATTATATGAAATTGAACTAGATTCTATTTGTTAAAAAATATTACAAAATTTTGTCATGCAACAACGTGATCATACTGATGATAAAAATTTTGTTTTATTGCCCCATATTTGGCATAATTATTAGCACCAAAAATTTGGCAATTTATCTTATGTACTGTTGTCTGTGCATCCCGCAGATGTGACAATGCAACATAGCAAGAAAATGAGAAAAACACGCTCTCTAACCATGGCTATCTGTGACAAACTATATAACCAAAAATAAAACTTAAAAATACATGTATGGTATACGCTACATGTACACTGTACAGTACGTTTAGGATAATTACTTAGTGACCTGGTGGTCAAGTCCACTATTACTGTGTAAGAAAGTTATCATATTTTGTTTTTCATCTTTAGGCACCTAGTCTTGCAATATGAATTTAAATATTGACCTATCAATCAAGTGTCAGCGTAGCGCAGTAGGTAAGGTTGTAAGTCCATCTTCTAGTAAAATATCAATGCAAGACTGGTTCAGATTGTACTTTTATCATAGCGGCACATTAGATGACACTGTTTGCATAATAAACAAGTCATTTATTTCATTATTTCCTGATGTCACAGTTAAAATTAGTCCTATAAATATGACCACAGGCGCTAGTCACATAATCAAATAATTTACATAACCGGTCTATATATGTATATTAAGATATCTTATTATAGAATATAGCCCATATAAAACTTTAAAAAGTTTGTTTCAAGCACCTATGGTCATAATGAAATAATGATTAACGAGAAAAAAAGTAGGTCTAATCTCCTATACATGTAGGATTTGTTGCACTGTTGCACACACCCTCGAGGTTTTGAGCATCTCGAGACAACCCTCAACCCGCCCCCTTATTTACAATTTTAAATGTCATATGGGACATTACAATGTCTAAACTTATGCAATAAAGCGCATATAAACGATTGCATTTACCTGTCATGGTCTACTTTCGCTTCTGCTAAATTTTGTACCGGTGGAGGTAGGTCTGCCATTTTGTCTATCACGTGGCAAATCAATGTCATGTGATCGGTAAACATAGGCTAAAATATGTATAGATTCGTGCCAAAAGTTTGAGATCACACACTTTGTTACCCGAAATCATCTGCTACGGTTAAATCTCATTTTATTCTATACTTTTTGTACATATGTATTCAGATAAGTTAATTTAACATTCCTAGGGTACGAATCCCAGATTATTCTTAACAATATGTAGTGATGTTATTATGGCACGGTGAATACAGCATTTATTATAGAATTTCCCACCAAAATGTCACACAGTATGAATTAATTACTTTATTTGCAAATCTGCACTAATTTACATTGTCTTAACTTTTATGTTCAATGTTTTATATTAAAGGAACTGTCCACCGTCGTCCTTAGTCTAAAAAGATAAAATTTAAATTTCTTACATAAATCAGCTTGGGCACTTTAAGCAGAAAAATATGCAGAACATAATGAAGAAATAAACTCAGAAATAGTTTGAAAATCGTATTTTTGTGTTATTCATAGCCCAATTTGATTGAAATGCATAGGAAAACTTTTTTTTATTTTTTTGACACATTACACAATAAAAATAATTATTTTGGGAAAAAAGTTATTGGTCTATACATGTACCTTTATCAAATGGAACATTCACATCGAAAGAATATTTCCAGCCCAACTATGTTAAAAGACCTCAGTGGAGTCCCTTAATTTAAGTACTATATAAGGTCAATATTATATCAAGTTTTACCAGATTCTATTTGAAACACCCTAGTTTCATACAACAATGGTCTTTTGAAAAACAGATCAGAATTGCAATTTTGAATGACGTAATAGATATGACATGCCAGCTTTACCATTACTACTAGTCTGTCTGTAATTTAGCCTACTAATGGCAAAATAATTGTGTATGGTTACGTTGGTACCGCGCATTAGTACCGTTGGTATGCCAATGGTAATTAAGTATTCCTACTCTGAACGCACCCTTAAATTATTTTATTCGGTATAATATTTTCATGAATCAACATGACCCAAATTTAAAATGCGTTTTTTAATAAAAAAATAAATTTTAAACTCAAATCGGACTAATTATCACAAAAATGGTCTTTGGTTTAATTCTGAATATGTTTCTTCATAATCTTTTGCATTTTTTCGTTTTTAAAAGTTCTCCAGTTGATGTAAGATTATAAGAATATAAGAATATTATTCAGTTATTTCGTATGCAGTGAAATGCAATTTAATTATGCGCCATACTTTTCAAAATCTTTTTTGATAAATACACATTTAAGATATATCGTTCTCAAATTTCCTCAAAACTAATTTGGCCTCTTAGAATATGAAGGACTTCGACTGTCTGCACGTGAAAAGTTATGAGAGCAAAAAGAAATCCATTTTTAACCAAAGAAACAATTTTTTTTAAACGTAAAATGTATCCATTATTATCCATTTACGAAAATGAGCCCGTCATTGGCATTCAAAATCAGTCACCAAATTTTGCGCCAACTTTCTTAATATTTAAAACTAATAACCTATATATTCGTAACGTTATACAATAGATTTTGATTTATAGTTACCGGAAATAAACCAGGTCCCGATTTTGCACGAATGAATGGAATAAAAATAAGATGTCGCTTTATTTAGATAACTAGGAATGTGTTTCATCATACTTTTAATGTAACGTTACTTAATTAATGATTAAGCAGATGTATACTATATTTATTCTTGTATTATCTTGCTTGGTAAAAAAATAAGAAAATTTAAGACTTTTGTTTATCTTTTAACTGTTTGAATCAATAATGTAAAGTTGTCGATTTTTTTAATTGATATAAACAAAACTTAGTCTCATGTGTGAGTCTATGTCATTGAAATAACTGAAAATATACTATTCTTTGATGAGATGGGTGACGCGTGCACGTGATATTCGATATCAATCACGGGGCGTATGCTAAAAATAAAAGTATCGCACTTTTTAAAACTGACACAATTTTGACACAAACTTATTTCCAAACGTGTGTTCATTTTACAGATCAACTGTAAAGGAAAGGAAAGAAACGAGCAAAAGGGCGATATACAGTCCCCTCGAAAAGTTTCCGGACATAGTTACAAATCATATAAAATGAAAGAAATATCAATGAAATAACAGCAAAGGAATATTTTATCTCTTTAATCTTCAAATATAATATCAAACATCTGCAAAAACAACACTTGTCAACATCCTGATGCCATTTAATGTCAATTGTTAGTCAATATTATCCAATTGTCCCCAAAACGTCTTCATTCATAACATTACAGTTTGTGCATCTTAATACTTGGTATGCCCTCTGTGGGCTTCAATGTCAGCCTGTTTTCTGTTAGGCATGCCTCTCACAAGCCGAGAGCACCTTTCTCTGGGTATGGCCTCCCATGATGCCACAACATTTGCCTCCAGTTCACCCATGTTGTGACTTAATTTGTTCTTAAGTCCACATTTGACATCCCTCCACAAGTTTTCTATAGGATTGAGGTCTGGTGATTGTGGGGGCCATTGAATACACCTTATTCCATTGTCTTCCTTCCAGTCATGAACTATTCTTGCTCTATGACATGGCGCATTGTCATCCTGTAGCCAATAATTGCCCCCATATCCCAGGAGATGGGCTGATGGCACTGCAAAATTTTCCAGAATGTTCACATATCCTGTTCCATTTAACTGTCCATCAATTCTAGTAAGCCTGTCCCCCTGTATGCCATGGCACCCCACACCATTACCCCACCACCTCCAAACTTCACAGTTGGGATCACACAATTATCCTTGAAATTTTCACCGGTACGCCTACGGATGTAAACACGGCCCTCTGTTTGAAACATGTTAAATTTCGACTCATCTGTGAATAGCACACATGACCAGTCTACCCAAGACCAGTGTTCATAACGTCTAGCAAACTCCAGACGCAGTTGGTGATGTCTGGCAGTTAAAAGAGGCTTCTTAACTGTCCATTGAGGCCAGTGGCACTAAGTCTGCGTCTCACGGTAGAATTTGAAGCATTCACTCCAGCTTCCTGCCAGACCAGACTCAGGGCAGGAACTGTTAATTTTCGGTTCTGGAGGGAAGTTCGCACTAGTAGCCTGTCATTCCTCACGTTGGAGACCTTGGGGCGTCTAGGGTCATGGGAACCGGTCTCTTGAAGACGTTGTAGGGTCTCGTAGACTGTTGACATGAAATACAAAATTCATAAGCTTAGAGTGTTAAAAAAGGGGAAATTATCACTTTTGTTTGCCAGAAACAACAATGCAACACTAGCAGACACTTTAATTTAAGACAAAAACGTATACTAAAAACTTAGAATGACTCACCTTGACCTTCCAAGCTGGCGTGCAATCTCTGCAACAGGAACTGTGACGGTGACCCTGATCCCTCATGATCTCACAGCGTAATCTCTCCTCCAGTGACAGCATTCTTCTTTTTATCGTAGGTAATGACAACTGCTATCAAATGTTATTATACTCATTACATTTTAATTTTTTTCTGATTTTGGAATGTTTGTTCTGTACACTTCACTTTATGGTTAATTAAAATGTACCACAAACAAACACATGTGTTTAAGGGAAAACAATGTTTGGAGGGCACAAATGATGACTTTTGAAGACAAATAATGTTAATTTATTACCTCCCTTTATCACACCTTATTGAAAGGTACCTCTTTTGTTTCAAACTAATAAAATAAGCAAATTACCTAGAATATTTCAATAAAAAAAGTTTGTACGGAAACTTTTGGAGGGGACTGTATAAGTACTACATTGGAACATTGTCACCAGAGAGCTACAAATTGCTGTCTTATAACAAAATCACCGAAAAACTACGTGTTCGTTCCTTTGTCCTTTTAAAAACGTTGTCTTATGGTTTAGATGATTAAACTAAAGAGTAAAATGACTTTTATGAATAAATGATTGTAGGAAAAAAACATTGAGCTTCTGGTGCCAGTGCCGTATTCGTAAAATATTTTACCAGGCCTAAATTGCCAACGAATCGAATTTAACTATGGCTTTTGGGCTTTATTCGTTAATAGAAGCTGTAATATTATGTTTAAATGCAGTGTGTATCCTTCACGAAGAAAGGTTTTTATCTAAGAGTAGGTATTCCTTCATCACTCGCTTGAGTACTTCAAATTTTATTATCAGGCTAGTTGATAAAATTCGGACAGATCATAATTCGGATAATTTTTTTATGTACTGTACTCCAGTCTGCAGGATTTTTTTACTGTTCTTTTGGAACAAAGACTAGAATCGTATTTGTGTTTTGCTAATAATAACGGTTTTGTTAATTTTCGCTGTCAGAATTCTATTGAAAGGTTTACTCTTCTGACATGAAAGTGAAAACAAATATTCCGATTATTCCACACTGCAGCGTATTTTTTTTTTACATTAATGACATATTTCAGTATTGCAGTTCTATATTTTCAGTTGGTTGGGGCACAGATCAGAGAGGGTTCGGTGAGCAGCCTGGGATGAAAACACAAGTGATGAATTTAATACGCTCAATAAGAACAGTTATGAGAAGTTAGTTCTTTCTCAGTTTACTATACATGTACATGTCTGTTCATTAGTTTATTATTTATATGTAAAGTTGGCAATATAAATTTTTAAACCCATTTCCAGCTGGGATGACCCGTTTTGAATTATTTAGATTAGTCCATTAGTTCAAATCAAAAGTATAGTATTTAATCATTAATCATGGTACTGAGACATATGTACTTGTCAGAGTTGATGAACATGGCTATTTTTCCTCAAAATTTAAAGGCAAAGAAGATCATTCATTTCTTCATTATAGATATTTTATTAAAATGATTAGTTTTGTGGAAATAATTAATCTGTATAGTACATTTACAAAATGTATTTTACTTTTGGTATGTAACATAATTGTGTTTTTTTTGTCAATAAGAAACATTATACCATTATCAGGGATTATGAATATGTAGGCCAAAATTAGCGTTTCAAATGCATTCAAGGCCTCACAAACTTTATTGTATATTGTAAAACCAAAAATGATCACCTCAAATTCAAAATGGACCATCTCAGACAGAAAAATTAAAGCCTTGAAAATTTTGTTAAAACATGTTGTAACTTTTGATGTTTTTTTTTCTTTACAGTACCACTGATAGGCATCAATGTTATAGTGATAGGATTTATGTTAGTACTTGGATGATGAATGGAGAGAGAATGGATATGCTTGATAAACTTGTAAATGTAAGATATATACATACAACTGTGAATGAACAGATATTGGTGCAATGGATGAAAAACAGAAATAAACACGTCAAATATGAAACGCCAATGGTTGAAACTTCAAATATGAAAACGCCAGGGTTCACTGATAGAATACTTTGCAAAAGGATAGGAAAGAATTATATGACCTGAAGATATTGTCACCTGAGGGCAATAACTGGTATTAAGTTTAGAAGGACTTTACCTGCTATTGCACTGAGATGACATATATGGACTACATGTATTTATTGACTATTTGATTTTAGTATAGTGTTTGGGTATATACAGTGTATTGTCTATTTTGTATGGACCAAAGTTATTTGAAAGAACATCTATTTCAGTAAAGACTTTATATTATATATACATGTACTCAATAATTTATACAAAAAAATGTAAGGATTGTGTGTTGATTGAATTACCAGATGTAAGGTACTATAGAATGTTCAGTGTTAATTGGATGATGACATTGGATATACATGTATTAAACCCATGAAAAACAAGATAGAGAGTTTTTAAAATGTCCTTATGAAGGCTTATATATATTAATATATATATCTGTTAATTTTGTATTCATCTGTCCATCTGCAAGTGCATCATTATATGGCATTTAAAATTATATTCAACTTACAAATTGTTTAAGATCAGTGTTTTGTTTTTATCAAGAATCTATTTTTAAACTTAATGCCCTGTAAATATCATGATTTCAGAAAGTGTTATTGTTGTTATATTGCCTCCAAAGGCCTTTTTATAATCATCTTTTAGGAAAACATGTATTTTTGAATCTAAATTTAGTTCAATTACTGGAAATAAATCTGGGGTACACATGTGACATTGAATTGTATAGGCTAGCAAGACTGGGTACAGTGATATTATTTACTCACTGTGATATTTGTTTTGACCCTCACCTCTCCTTGCATCATCATGCATGACAACTATTGTTTATAAGTCTCCTAAGGTTTATAAGCTTACTTAGAAATTAGATGTATAGCAAGTATATACAATTATTATTATACTTACTATGCACCTACATTGTAATTGATGACACATTTTTATTTTCTTCATGGTGTAAAGCAAGATACAAAATGTACATGCTGTTTTATTTTTAATATAAACTATATTGCCCAACAATTGAATTATATGGCAATAATAAAGAGGTATATTGTGGTCATTTTGAAATGTGGATCTCCAACCTTTACCCTGCTAAAACTGATAGTGACTTAAATGATTGTAGTCTTTCCTTGATCTGACCTGTTAAAGCTGCATGCCTCCAGGTGAGCCAAAATATTTTTTTTTTAAAAATACACTTGACAAAAAGGTCTAAGATTTCAAGAAAAGTAAAAAAGATTCAAGATTCAAATAATATATTACATGTTATGAGTGATAAAGGACTGAATTTGCAGTATTTACAGGGATTTTATTTTCAGTATTCAAAACAACCTGTGACTTTCTGAAGGGGAAAATAAAGTGTGATAAATCAAAAAGGGAAAAAATCGAATTCCAACAATTCAGAATTTCAATTCAATTTAACATGCATGGTACATAGCAGAGACTATCTATAGGGGCAGCTTTCTGTCTTCTAGCTGATATAAGTCAGCTGCTGTTAAGTCGTGGTTCTGGTGAAGAATGTGCACAGGGCATTTTAGGGGAAAATATTAGCATTTTTAGTGGAAAATATACGTATTTTGTGCAAGGGAAAACAGCCTTTATTCGGTTGTAAAATATAGGAAAAAAATCACTTGATTTATCACATTTCTACTGCGTTACTTATGCAGGAGGGGCTATTTTTGCTTGTTTTGACCTCTAATAATTTATGTGGATTGCAAGTGCTGTTTGCAATGTGTAAATTATTTTCTTTGTACACTTCATAATATTTTTATTTGTAAATTCGTTTTAAAAAAATCATAAAAAGAGCATTAATCTGGAGACATACTGCTTTAAATGGTTAATATCTCATTATACATGTAAGATATATGTTAATGTTTGCCATTGATTCTAATTGGTGAAATATGTTTGTAAAAGGTATTCTTCAGTCAATAAACTGTGATCTGTATCCAGATTTTTTTTATTGAATTACATGTCATATATGTTTTTGTTTTGTTTTTCTTTGAGGGGCGTGGGGATATTGTTGTTAATAGTTTTAGTATTCTAATTTGGTCACTAACTTTTATTCAACATTTTTTTCTGTGCAGTTTTTAGATGACTGGAAAAAATAGTGGCGTTTTCCTACTGAGTGACCAATGTTCTTATGATTTGTACTAGAATATGATCTTTAGACATTACTTTTGAGAATGGTTATACAATAATTTAGTCGTGTGCTTTACACATTTAAAACCATTTTATTTAAACAACTTTGAAATCATTTGAGTATCTGCTTTTACTAAAAGTACTTGCTTGCAAAACTAGGACAATTTTTGGATCCAGTTTATTTTCTTCATCTTACATTAAAAAAAGATATTAGAATTACCTTTTATCATGAATGTTGTTGTTTATGAAATACAAAAATAAATGTACATGAAATGATAAAAGAGACCTTTAGTCAATAGAAAGTCCCCACTCGGAACCCACTACGATGACAAGCATCCGTAAATGAGGGAACGCGGATTCCAATGTTCTTCCCTCGTTTTTATTATTATACATGTAAATGAGATCGGTTTGTTGGCTGTCGAGGAAAAGGTCACCTTATCTCTTGTAAATACTCACAAAATATTATTATCTATTTGTCAAGGTGAAGATAAACTTTTAAAAGATGTTTTCCGTAAGATTGTTAACCGCTCTTTTCTTCATCTGTAGTTTAAAGAAAGGAGTTTTCTCGGGTTCAGAAACACCTAGGAAACTTCAGTTCGTACGCTTTCTTGTGACGGTGAATGACACATGGGCGGACCCTCCAGGGTGAGAATTGCTTATATCATTTCGAATTTTTTGTTTGTTACTTTGATAAAGATGTCATTTTGCATCTACTCAAAATTTGACATGCAAAGTCCGGGTATTTATGCATTACATATATCTATATTATATCTACAGATGTATTGCGACAATTGCCACACCTGTGGTCCCTGTAAACAAATCTGAGAACCTTCAGGTTGGCGAATGTGATCACGGACCAATCGAGTATACATTTTACACACCGGGGAAGAATTATAATAAATATGTGAGTTTTTTATCATTTACATTATTACACCATTTTTATTTTCGAAGCTTTATTCATATCCTTCAGGTGAGAAAGGACTTCCTTTCGGTAGCTTATGTAAAAACTGATGTCGGATGTTCTTTATTTTATACCGCCCGTCAACTGAACAGATTAAAGAGAAATCTTCAGTTAAATTAAGGGTATTTATAGACTTAAATCCAAATGTAAGTAATTAAGATATGAATAAAAATGTATATAAAATAGATTATCCTTTATAAAAATAAAACGAACGGATGTTCTTAATAGTTGTAGCACTTGTATTGTATAAACTTCGAATCATTTCAACTGCATAAAGGGCCATCAGAAATAATTTTTTTCTAAAACGTGCGAACACGCGATAGCAACTACGTGAGCACGTAATAGCTACTACAAGCTATTAA